TTTTCCGCTCTCAAAGCATTTCATGACGGTGTTAAAAAATGTTCCCACATTTCAGGAGCTTAAGGCAAATCCACCCCGCAAGCAATTTATTTTGTTAAACAAACAGACAATAGAACAGCGAAATTGGACAGAAACTATGATCCGTTCGCACGGAGAAGAAAATAAGATTAACGTTCGAAACTTTGAAAATGCACTAACGTGGTCGGCAAAATCTTATTTACACCTAAACATTACTGCTTTCCAATAGAACTCAGATCCTTTGTGAGCAAATTTCAGGGGCAGGCTTTCCAAAATTATACACACTTACAACGCACATATTTGTAACTTTAAAAGCTACAAGTGTCGCCGATCAAACATGTACACTTCCTTAGGTTTATTAAGAGGAAATTTGCTGGTATAACTTATGCAATAAAAATTTAATTCGCATTGAAAAACAAACAAGGAAAGCAAACCAAATTACATACGCCAAGCAGACGGTAAATAAAATGATAAGGAATACGTTCTGCAAGCTAACATAATCTGACAGACGCGGGTTCTAATCGAAAAACACCATAACTCTTGCGGATCAGTTAAAGTTTGCCTTGTACCAATAGGCGCAATTACGCACTTGAATTGCTTTAAACAAATGCAGTTAACGTCCTTTAATGTCATTTAACATAGTTTACTCAGGCGGGTTAATAAAACAAGCGACAACATTTATGAGGAGATAATTAAACATGTAATAGTATTCAATATGTGCTGAATTTCCAGGGGCACTCAACGAGAATATTTTTTTTTATAACCACTTAAACATTGCATTGTTGAATGTATTTTAGTATTTAAACGGTAGATATAGGCATATTTTTACCCTAAAAATTTTTTATCTGTTCGGATTTCCTAGCTGAAAGTCTGGTGATCCGAAAATTATAGGGATCAAAACTTACCTTTTCGAAAATTTCAGCCAGAAAAAAGGCTAAGGAAAATTCTAGATGTCCTTTTTAGGGTAAAAATCCGTTAAAAATGGGCAATTATACCATTTTTTATATGTTCGAAAATCCTCGGAGAGGGAGGCAAGCAAGACATTTGATTTTACAACAAATGTTCCGAAAATTCTAGATCTCAAATCGTCTTCCGAACAGATATTATCCAAAAATTGACGTTGGGTGCCCCTGAATTTCGCAGGACAAAGTGCAGAAGTTCACGCTTAGCATTTCAATATTTACCAACAATAGTTATTAAATTTTAAACTACAAATTCGAATTCCCAAGTACACAATCATAATCATATGTTATTTGTCGGCCAAGAGGTTCGTATTGGAAAAAATTTTTCCCGAGGTCTTTAGTTCGGTCTCGGGCGGTACTCATGGACTTAGCTAGGGCACAGTTTTCCCCTATACAGTATGGCCTAAACTAGCAAATAACGTAATCATTCTTTTTTTGCTACTACTATTAAAGGGGCTACAGCCGACTCTCCCTTAACAGACAACCGTGTCAAAAGGACACCTAGAGTTGGCCCCTGACTTTCTTTACTCCCTTTATTTGACTCTCTATAAGATAGACACCCCTGTAAAACAGACACCTAGAGTTGGCCCCTGACTTTCTTTACTCCCTTTATTTGACTCTCTATAAGATATACACCCCTGTAAAACAGACACCTAGAGTTGGTCCCTGCCTTCTTTACTCTCTTTATTTGACTCTCTATGTTTATGCTCCCTTGAGAACTCGGAGAGTATAAGACAGACATCTCTCTAAGATGGACACTCAGTGCCGGTCCCCAAGGGGTCCGTCTTAGAAAGAGTTGACTGTACTAAATCGTCAGTTATTAATTTATTGAATTTATTTATTCATTTGTTTATTATTCATTATCTCAGGAACGGCTCGATAAAACTCTTTAAAAAAACTCGTCGCATAAAACTTCATGATGTAATAATAAAATGAAGATGATTTGAACTGCGCAAATACAAACTTTTTTAAATTAAAGATCGGTTGATGTATATGTGCTACTGATAAATCGTTAATTGTGTTGATATATTTACCGTAAATCCTTTATTAAGCCCCCCCTCTCAAATAAGCCCCCCCTTTTCAGAGGAGGAAAGTTAATAAGCCCCCACCCCTCCCCCTCCTCCAATCCTTATTCTTCATAAAAAAAAAAAAAAATTAACGATTAACGTGGACTGATCAGTTATGGTTTATTCATAAAAATTACCGAAGAACATGAGGTCGAAAGCACATTTTTGAAGAATAAGAATTTTGATTTTGTTACTTTTAGGCTCCCACAAGTGAACTAAAATTAATACTTTTGACGGTGACTTTAGTTGTACAATGCGTAAGTCTACTCTGTCTCATACCACGGTATTTTTGCTACAGGTGATGCATTTCGCTAAATTAAATAAGCCCCCCTTCAAAAGTGCTTGAAAAAAATAAGCCCTCCGGGGGGCTTAATAGAGGATTTACGGTATTTATGGAATGAAGATACTGTGAACTACGGAAATACAAACTGAATTGAAGATCTGAGGATGTGCTTCTACTAAATCCTTAATTATGACAATTTATTTATTCATAGAGTGAAGATTATGTGAACAGGGGTAATACAAATTGAATTAAAGATCTGGGGATGTACTACTGCTAAATCGTTAAATATGATAATATATTATTTATGGAATGATGATAATGTGAACAGGGAAAATACAAATTCAGTTGAAGATCTGTGGATGTGGTTTTTCTAAATTGATAGTTATTTTACAGTCCCAGCAGGTGTGGCATACCCCCTAAGATTCTATTAATGAATTGATTATTTGAAAAATTAATCCGTTAGTCGTTCCGGTAACTAGCGTAAAATTCAAATCGGCATTCCTGCATGCGTACTGAGCAGTGAATAATTTACGAGAACTTCTCTGTATTTGGTCAGATTGAAAATCTTTAAATGGGTTAAATTTCATAGAAGACATTTACGTGAAATTCAGGGAAATTTAGCTGGTAGAAATTTTGTAACTGAATCGCGTGTGAATTCATGGCTCGCATGCAAAAATGCAGACATGAATCTGAAATCCACAACTACCAACGGATTCAACTTTCGAACAATAAATTCATTAATGTAATCTTGGGGGGTACGCTTGACTTGGGTTGACTGTAATCTATTTATTCGTTTACGTATTATTTATCATTCATTTCGCTTGTTCTACTTTTCCCCAGAAAAATGAGGGGCTTCCTGGTAGGTTACTTTAACTCATTGTCTTCGGAGTTTATTTTAAGTAGTTTTGACCATGCAACTTTAAAAAATCATATCTCTGCTGTTATTTCCAGTTCCTTATAAAGCTATACCTCATTGTAAAGGGCAAAAATTAAACTTTCAGAAAAAAAATATGTCGGTCTCAGGAAACCCATAATATTCCCCCCAAAAAATTATAAACAAGCATATTTCTGCATAATTATTTTAAAAAATTTTTAAGAGTGTAATTTTGCCAGGAAAGTTGTCTGTTTTGTGTAATACAATACAAACAATTTTTTTCTTCAATATCTAAGCAAAACAGCCTGAATATCGGTCGAAAATATAGAGCGATTAACAATTTTCTGCAAATTTATTTTGCGACCTTATCGGATTATGCAAATGAGGTAAGAGCTAATTGGCATAGCGAAACTAGATACACCTAATTGCAATAAGGTTGTCATTGAAAAAAGCAGAAAAGCAACTGAAACAAAAAGCAAAAAGCCAAATAGGAATTAATTAGCATTTAATTATCATTGCTTTCAACATTCACAACACACACGCTTATACCTGAATATTAATCACGTAATATGAGAGAAATCATTTGCATCAGTTTCTTGGTGTCATTCTAATGCAATTCAAGGCTGATTCATCTAGCGGATTTCAAACGTGCTCTAATTATAAACTTAAATCGGATGACTACTAAAGAGAAAATGGCTCCATTTTTTTTTCAATAAATATAGCCTGGGGTAAATTCCAGAAACGCGACGCGTCTTTTCCTTTAGTGCTAAATAGAAAAGCCAGTCTGCGTATGGTTTGTAGTGCACGTGCACAACACCATCACAATTTTCAAGCAACAAATCAGGGGCGTACGCAGGTTTTTTCATCGCGGAGAGGGTGAGGCGTTCCTCCGCCAGTTCCTCTCCCGCGCCACAAACCAAGCTTCGTTTGTCAGGACATAATAGATTGGCGACTGAAAGTGCGACAACTGAGACATAACATTGCTCGCGTCAATTCACCTTTTTCTTTTTTGAATTGTGCGACTTCTGTTGATGGAGAATGTTGGCTCTAAAATGACCAGGGCTCCTGGCTATCTTATAGCGCGGTTGATGCCAACACGGCCAATTGAATTTTCTCCCTGTGCTGCTGTTTCAATCACTCGACCAAGGTACAAATTTATAAAGTGAGACTCTTGTGAAAAGATCACAAGTGAGACAGGTTTGCCTCAGTCCGTTTTCTTTTTTTTTTCGCAAGCGGGGGTCATGAGCCCATTACTAGCTAGGTCTCTGTTAACGGTAACAACATGATTCAAATAACAACAACAACTGCAACTTCATTTACATATCAAAACTGTTTTATTGGATTCTACACACTCTACTTTAGATCATTTAAAAGAACTTTCTTCTTGTCAGCAAACTCCTCCTCCGTTAAAACACCCATCTGCTTGAGGTCATTTAGCTCTCTAAGTTCCCGGAGGATGTGTGATCGAGAGTAGCCGACTGAACCTGTAGTTGTAGCTGAACTTGTAGTCTAAAGATAAATCATCAACAAGTTATTAGTGGACCATTTATCTCATGCGGCCAAGATCTACAGTGCAGGTAGGGAAAATGCGATATTCTGTGGGTTTAATAGTTCACTTACTACTGTTGACGTGCTTGTCGTAGTCTTTTTTGCCACCTTGTTTCGAAATATCGGCAGCATTGGTGGTTCATCTTCACTTTTATGCGACCCCAAAACCTGGAATGATAAGAAAAAAAAAAAAAATTTACGTTGATTTTAGCTTTTTGCTTTGATTAGCGTTAATTTGAGGATTCATTTCATACCAGCATCTCCGCCCAGAGTCGGTACTGGTAAGGCTGGAAAACGGTCTCGCCGTGCTTATCTTCCAACCTTTTCGTTTGCTCGTCTATTTTCTCCGTGAATGAGGGGGACGCAGCATTTGCCTCATCATGAGAACCTATAAGGAATAAGGAATTTTACTAAAAGTCACACTTTTGAAAACACGTGTTCGTTTGAAAAGCTTATACTTACGTTTGTTTGTTTGGTTGCCTTTCTTGTTGACACTCCCGGCACGTTCTTCATTCACCACCGCATGGCTGGGGTCCACCCAAAGAGGTTGCCCACTTATAGCAGCGGCATAGGCGTCAGGTAATTCGGTGTCAGTAAGAACCCAGAGTTTTTTCTGCTTCTTATCGATGAAGCCAAAGCTGAAATTCTCTGCAAACGGCTCACCAGGAATAATGTTCTTCACTGCCTCTCTAAATTCGGAGCAAGTCTCCGTTACGGGAAAACCCTTTACTCTGGCTGTCCTGTATGAAGATTTTTTGTTCCCACCAACTATTCTGATATCAGTCGTAAAACGCTGACGAGCGTCGTTTAGAACTTGTCCCTCCATGTTTTAGACTGATTTAAAATCTGCACGTGCTGGTGTGTGCAATTTACGCTTTACTTTTTTGGCTCACGGGCCTGGGATCACGGGATGATTCTATTGTTCTAGCTCGTGCAAACGATTACTAAATAAACAGAAATACTGCGAAAAAGAAACCACTGCAAAGAATTGGTCATTTTTATGAGGTAGAATGCCGGGCGCTTATTCAGAGGACCTCCGCTGGAGAATTATCTGGTACAAATTTCTACTGATGCGTAGTGACGAAGAAATTGCTTTTCAGTTATTTGTATGCCCAAGAACGGTGCAGCGTATCTGCCAAAAATTTGTATTGACAGGAAATGTTGTAGCAGAAAGAGCTGGTCGACCTGTCGGTACGACAACACTTCACCGTCATGAAGAATACATTATAATGGAGGCGATACTCAAAGAGCCAGCCACACGGTTACATCAGCTCGCGTCAACAATACAGGAACAAACTGGCTCCGAGTTTGATGTTTCCACACTGTGTAGGACACTTCACAGACTTGGATTCACTAACAAGAAGGTCAGTATAAGAATTACTGATACCGCTTATCTTTTTTCTCTCTCCAACACCCACTATTGCTTCTGATTGTCCACAGATAAGAGAAATTGCAGCTCAGAGAAGAGACGACCTACGTGCTCAATTCAAAGCTGATATGCTAAATCATTCGCCTCATGAACTCATTTTTATTGATGAGACAGGAATTGTAAGTGTTGCTTTTTTATAATTTCTCAGAGTCGATTGTTTGTTAGAAAAAAACTTCTTTTGTATAAAACGTTCTTTCCACTCATTCATTATTTTTTTTCTGATCTTATCTTTCTCCAGGACAGAACCTTATCGAGACAATACGGTTATTCACAGAAAGGGCAGCGGGCTGAGGTGATAAGGACAAGAACAAATAGCCAACGTATAACAGTAATATCTGCTATTGCTCACGATCGATACCTCAGCATCCGAGTACTCAATCCAGGCCAACGATTCAATCGCATTGTTTTTGCTGACTTTCTACGTAATGATATAGTACCCATTCTCAATCCATACAATGGAAGAAACGCTCGCTCTGTGGTTGTGCTAGGTAATAAATTGTTCATAAGAAATGAATTTTTCTCTTAAACATTTGCTCAAAATCTTTAATTTCGTTTTTGTGTTTTTAGACAACCACGCAGTTCATCATGTTGCGGAAGTGGAAGAAATGATATACGGTGCTGGAGCTTTGGTCAGATACCTTCCACCTTACAGCCCGGATTTTAATCCGATAGAGGGAAGTTATCACCAGGCCAAACACTTCATTCGGGAAAATGACATTGCCTTCCGTTGCTGTCTTCAGCCCCATGCGTTTATCTTGCATGCTTTTGCGCAAATTTCACCAGAAAACTGCGAAGGGTATTTCAGAAACTCTGGCTATGAGTGACAATTCGACTGAAGTAATAATTTTGAACCCTTTCGTTACACACATCGGTGTTTCATGTGCGGAATCTTACAACGCGGAATTACAGAATTATGTCTTGTTATTGTTAATGACTTAATTCTTAAATAATTGTTAAATTATTAAAATACGCAAATGTAAATCACATGGCTAATTAATTCCTATTTGGCTTTTTGCTTTTTGCTTTTTGCTTTTTTCTATGACAACGTTATTGCAATTAGGTGTATACAAAGAGGCAAATTTTGCTGGAAATAATCCATTCCTGTAAAAGACAAAAATAATACATTTGGGGTGGGACAAATTCTGCCTAAACTATATTATACATACAAGCATGTACACAAACATTATTGAAACTACAACTTCTTGTTTATATGTCATAAAGAGCCAAAGGAAGGTGCAAGGGTCTACCAAACTCTGCTACTGACAGAGCACAACCTGACAGATTAAATCTTACTGCATGCATGCTTTCCTTTGTATTATTAAAATGCTTGATAACTTTGAAAGATTCTTGTTGACACATGTTGGCCTACATAGATGTTACCGTTAATAAAGCTGAAAATTACCTTTAGTTACTTTTACATTATTCCAATAATATTATACTACTGTCATTAACATGCAATATACATCTTCTTACTATTTAGATTCCAGAAGTGCAGATCATGTGGGATTCTAGTTCCTAATGCCTGCAAGAAATGCAAGAACTGTGGGGAAGACATTAAAGACAAAACCTTTGACTGGGATAAACTGAAAGAAGAGAAAAAAACACTTCCCACACAGCAGAGGAAAATACTGGAGTCCAGAGTAATTGAGTTGATAAAGTGCTACCATGCGTAAACTTTCAACTTATGACACTGAACCATATCTTATGCTGGATTGCTAACTTGGATAGGAGACAGAGGGTTAAACTGGCCCAGGATTGCTTCTCCAAGTGGCGTTACATCCCAGCCTGTGTTCCTTGGCGAGAAGTTAGAGCCATAGCTCTTCGTAACAGTGACTAACGATTTGAATGCATGAGGCAGATATGTGGAAATATGTGGATGATACCACAACCGCTGAGGTGGTAGACCACGGACAAGAGGTTGTATTAAGCAAGTGAAAGACAATCTCGCAAGGAAAGCAAGGGATGACAGATTTCAAAATTAGCTTCAGAAGGAATAAGCCAGAATTTGAGCCTATCTGTGTTAACCCTCAAACCCTAGAGACTGTCAACAGTGTGAAATTGTTAGGACTTAATGTTAGTAGTGATATAAAGCGGAATGTCCAAGTGTCAGAGCTAGTTAGAAAGGTCTCAGCAAGATTATATTTTGTAAGACAGCTTAAGAAATCACATGTTGCTACAAGACAGCTTATTCTATTTTACATCACATGCTTTTGCTCTATAATTTAGTACGGTAGCCCAGCTTTTCACCGCACTCTACCAAGTTATTTAAGCAAAGACCTAGAAAGACTGCAAAAATGCGCAAAGAAGATTATTTACCCTGACCTATCATATGCTAAGGCTCTAGAGCTGCCTGGAATTTTAACACTGTATGATAAAAGTGAGGCAATAATGTGGTAAAGTTGTTTGATGAAATATGTTCTAATCAATCTCACAGTCTCCACAAACTACTTCCAAGTTAATATCAGCCAAGCTACTCTGAGAGAACACAGTACTTGTTTACAGTACTTGAGAACTAGATATAATTTTGTTTCTTATTGTACATAGGAACTTGACACATGCCTTTCACTTTGTGATTTTGTACCAGTTTTACAATGGTAAAAAATCCTTCTTTGATTAGTCGTTAATTATTGCAGGTATAAACCTTACCACAATTCAGCCCTTTGGCTGCAAGTTTTTAAGGTGAATAAACACTCTCTATCCATCCATCTAAACTCATTTACATTATTTCAGTAAATTCAAATTTAAATTTTCTATTTGTCATTGAAAGTTATAGCTTTTACATGTTTATGTTGGTTGCCACCCAGTGCAAGTGGACTACACTAATATCAATATGGACTACCCTTTCACCGGTCGTTATGTCACATATCTACTATTGTAATGTGTTCAATAGTTTAACCATATGGGTAGTCACCAGGGTAGTCCATGGGGGTCAGCATTTTGTCCACCATTGTGTATGTCTTAGAGATTGACTCTGCATTTTGCTTTTATAGAACTAAACTGGTATAGTCAATACAGTGAACCTTATCACTCTGCTAATCATAGCATTAATAATATATAGATTTAGCCAAGCCTAAAAGCAGGGCTCCCGTTTAGTACTTTCATTTCACTTTAAACTGTAAAAGCATTCTAAAATATTGCGAAGGAATTCACAAACGTTTTTTACTATAGTTTAGTGTCGAGAACGGTTAACTCGCTATAATTTTTGTCTAAACTTTCGTCTGCCATTAGTACGGTCTTTCTACCTACAAAGTCATGACGTATATTCTACAAAAAACACAAATTATCAATGTACTGTATTCTATTCTTGATGAAATTAACCATTCTATTTGTGTAAATGAATTTCAAAGATTTGTACACGCTACTGGGTAATGCAGGACACAACTCTTCATTTTCGTGTTAAAACGAACACCTCGATAAAATAAATGTTTACTCCAAAAATGTTTACTCTGACTCTCATTCTTATGATAGAACAAAAATAATGTATAGGTGAAGATAATTGTCTTCACGAGATTATAAAAAAGTGTTGCTATAGTGACGGATGTCTGTACTGAGGGAATTTACCAAAAAAAAAACAAATCATAAGGGCTTCTTCCAGGCTCAAAATGAAGTGCCTGGAAGAAGGTATCGGAACTAAGCAAATGTCCGAAAAGTGGGCTTCGACTGTAGCACTTATATAATGTCTGGTACATAAACCAAAAAGAAGTAAAAGTAGCACCTATTTTTGTGTTTGCCATACGTTTTTTTATCCTTAGTACCATAAAACAGACATTTTCAAGCACGTCCTCTGAGCTTTCCCTTAAGGTAAAAGTTCTTTCCATTACAGACCTTAAGCATTGCACAGTTTTGGAGAATTAAGAACATAACCGAACATAACCGCTGTTTCAAAAAATTTGTTCTCAGCTTTCAAGGAAAACACGCATTAGACCAACAACAAGGGTTAAAAGTTGTATACGTACCAACAATAGCTAACAGGTTTTTTATGTGACTTTGTAGTTATCTTACTTGTCAGTCCCAATGATATGAAAGAAAAATGGGAGCCTTGTTCCCAGGGTATATCTTCTTCCCATCCTCTGGAGTGCTACTTCAACTAAGGGACTAAAGCTTTATTAAAAGATCACCGGTTCGGTAACAGCAGTAAAAAATAACACTAAACTTATATACTCAAGCTTATAGTTAAAATGGAGATGGTGTCGCCTCCGTTTCGTGCGTGACGACAAAACGAATGGCTGCGTAGGCAAGACTACCTTGTGACGAAGGCTACCGAGATT